TATATCCTGTATCATCTCCTATTCATTGTGTTTTATAGTAGTCATGATATCATGTAACTTGGAATAGTGAAACCTATGTACTAAGCAATTCTTATTTAAGTTTAAACTAAAGCTGTACAATATTGCTGTCCAATATCAGTCTTGGAATGACACTATCTTGTACAGCCTGGAAATGTTCAAACCTATTTCGAGAACCCTTATCTTCCTGTTTGACTCCTCCCAAACTCAGCCAATTGCAAAATATATTTACTTTCTCCTGCCAGCACTGTTTCCCTTTGATTTCCAAGTATTGGTGCCTAATGCTGCAAATAAACTTTTGTGTACATAATGTGGGTGGGTAAGCTTATTAAAGGAAGAAAGGAGGTTGGTTTTTGTTTTGTTTTTTTCCTTATCACATCCAGAAGATTTTTATAAAGAACAAAGACGGGAAAATGCACTTGGCGTGATGCTTGGAGAAACTTTGAAGATTTAACTGTATACTAATACATAGGTTTTACAGAGAAAGAAAATGTTTTCGTATTATGAGATTGAACTGAGTTGTCTCAAAATGTCACTATCTAATCTATAATCATTTGGTGTGTTTTTTAATAGAATAAAACTTCTACATCTAAAAACCTGCATTTAAGGATTTAAGTTCTTACTGCATTTTTAATTATTTATATTTGCATTTATTTACATTTAGCCAGTATGGTGTTTGCCCTTTATGAAAACTGTATGATAACCATATTAATAAACACTGTATTTTCTCTAAATTTTTTGCCTTAGCATCTTGAACAAGATGGCACTCCTGTTGTAGAATACATTTACAGAAATAGTGATTCCTGTTTGTACATGTTTTAATTTTCTTTTAAACAATGTATCAGTGAAGATCTAGCAATTTATAATCTTCTTTTCCAGCCCAGTATCTTCAAACTGAATTTATTTCACATTTTGGAGTTGATTGGGAAAAATGTCTAGAGAAAGAATTAGCGAATGGCAGATGATTAAGTACCCCCCTCCCATCTGCAGCTTTTCACCAAAACAATCCAGGACCCCATGTTTCTTCCCCAGTTTCCTCAGGACACTTCAATATAGCAATAGCCTAGGCATATCCTCCTAGGAGTAAGAATCATTGCATTTCATGGTAGTTATTACAGAATAATATTTAGGGGTATGTTTTCTGAGCCCAGCCCAGATGTCTACAATCTTGTCTTTACTGTTGGAGTGTACTTGTGTATTTTTGTTGTCCTTTTATACTTTATCCACAGTATATATAACTTTATATGCTTTTATTATCCTGTGCAAGAGAATCAGTTGTGTGTATGTGCATTTAAATGGGGGATCAATTTGTTTTACAAATGGAGTGCCTTATTTTATAATCAATTATAATTGGCAGTCTTTAATGAAATACAATGGGGCAAAAAAGTATTTAGTCAGCCACCAATTGTGCAAGTTCCTCCACTTAAAAAGATGA